CACTCCGGCAGCCAAACAACGACATTTCGTTGCCAGATCGTGTTTTTGTGCAACGACAATAAAGAAAGTCTAAAACTAATGTTTCTGTTCAGGAATGCAGGTATAACTATAATTCAACATCCTAATCAAGAAATTATAATGTGCTTCACTGTTTTTTGATAATAATTCTATTTTAACATGAAAAACATCCTTTCGGTTGAAGAGTTTCTTCGTTCTGGTGAACTAACCGCGACAGAAACATAAACTATTGCTGTGGTCATTAGCATTGCTGTTAATTTAGGTCAGCTGTGGTGTAAACCTCACATGGGCTGGTGGTCTATCTCACACTGTGCATTTATACGGCGGAGCTGTGGTGAGCAGGGAGGGGTGAGAGGAGAACGCCGAAGACCTCATACATCTGAGGAAGTAACGCTTTAGAGTCACATCGAGGCCATTTCAAGGCGAGTCAGCTCTGAACATGTAACTGACACACAGGATGAGTCTTTATGGTTCAATCAGCGACCACAGAGGAATCTTTAGAAGCTGCTGGTGACACAGCCACAGAGCCGCCTCAGAACCTCAGCCACAGACGGGCCGAGCAGAGCCGTACCCCTGTGGGACATTTTATCCAGAGACACATGAAAAGCACATGCGTACGTAACCGATGCTGTCCTGTAGTAGAAGGAGGTGAAGGGCTGCTAGATTCACATGTAGACCTGAGATGATGACCTCAGAGGATGACTTCAGGGATTTGTTTGTGTATTTCTGTAGAGTTCAGGGACTTGAAGCTTCAGAGACAAACAGATTCTGACTCTCTGCCACAGAAGTTCTCAGTCCTGCACCTCTAATAACGTAACTTGTTGTTTTCTCATCATTATTAGAACCAAAACCACTTGAATGCAGCAGAGTTTTAGTTTTAGAAAATCTGAGACCTTCCAGTGACAAAATGTGACGGCTGATGATTTTTCTGGGTGTCTGACTGACTGACTGTAGGAGTAACTGCTGCACGCTGCAAGGCCGAAGCCTCTGAACACACACAGACAGTAAACGTCACCTCTGTCAATAACAAGACTGATGTGTATTTGTTCAGTCTGTTCAACGCCTTTGGGAACCTTTAGAACAAAGCAGAAATGGACAATAACATCTGTGCCTCCTTATGGTAATAATATGAAGAACACATGATCTCTTCTGGACCATAAACAGCAGCAGTGTTCCCTTTATCACCAACCTAACAGCAGAAACACCTGCCAGGAGCGTCTCCTGGAGAAGGTTCTGTACAAGACATCCTGCTGACTGGTGCTGAGGACCAGTTACAGAAACTAACTGCAAATTTTCCTACACCACTGACAGACTTCATGCATCACTACGGCAACGACAAGCATGTCCCACATGTGTCCGTCACTGTTTAGCGCCCCCTGGAAACATTTCTACTGGAGTTTGTGCTATTTGCAGCATTTCTGTGTTTAATGTCTTTGCAGTTCTTTCCTGTATTCGCAGTATTTTCTTCCACCTGCTGAATGTTTGCTGCCAAATCGTTTAAGACGTGTTTTTTAATTTCTTCGTCTTTTAGCTATTTGCGTGTTTCCTCAAGCTGCAGCGCGTTGACTTCTGGTAGCTACCGTCACCAAACAGAGGAAAAGCATTTCTTGCACCTTCACCTCAAACCTTCTGTTGAAGTTTGGAACCTGCTGGAAGACAACGTCTCTGTTCCTGCGGTTTTCTAGCTAAAGCACAGTGAAATATCTGTACGTGTTCCTCAGCTGCTGCTTCGCCTCCTCTAAGGGGAGCGCTGAAGGCCGGCGAGGAGTGATCCGCATTAGAGTCAGACAGTTTTCCACCACTCTGAGTGATTAAAGAAATCAGTGGAAGAAATGCACCCTGGGAGGAAGAGGTCACTGTGCCAGCACATCAATTCCCAGAAAAATGCGCTGACCACGCAGAGGTGAAAGAACAACCCAGCCGAGGCCGTGAACAGATCCACTCCTCCCCACCGATTCGTGACCAAACCCAAACCACTCCGACCCGGTGAGTCGTTTCCATTCCCTGCGACAGGACAGGAAACCCGCCTCTCATTTGTGCTGCTGGAACATGCGAGCTGCACCATTAGAGCTCCACGGTTTCATTTAGTACGACAGCATGTGACCGTGTGTCCCAGAGTCAACCAATATTATGAAACAGAGCCTGCATTTCCCAATATGACTCAACACGCTGGCGTTCGTGTTTGTCTGACAAGAGGATGTGAAAGAATCTGTCAGCCACCCACTTACCCACACAAGCACAATACATAATACACACTTTAACACTTATCATAAACTTACAACCTACTGACACGTCATGCACTTACACAGGAGACACATGCAGCAGCAGTGGTGGATGTAGATCAGTTATTGTACCTAATTAAAAAGCTTCTGTTTCATTTATGCCACTTCATTTCAGAGACAAATATACTTTTTACTAAGAAATCTTTTATCAAATTCTACTGCAGTTATAGATCAAACTGCTCTTTAATGCATCAGTAGGAATACAAACCCCTGTGAAGGAGGCCGTTCCACTTTACCTGTTCATACTTGGAGTGCATTTTCCTCATACTTACACACTTTTGCAGTTATTAATGTTGGACTTTTCCCTGTATTGGGCTTTTTGATTCCGTGTACTGCTACTGAATACGTTACACTTCATCACTATGGTGCAAAAAAATCCTATAAGATGCAGACATAAAGCTGCACGCCTCGTTGGTGTGCAATGTATGCAATATGCAGTGATGCAGTACAACCAGAAACGTGAGCAGAACAGTCCAGCCTCTGTCGGCTGCTTTCTACCTCCTCATGGTGTGCATGTTGACATCACTGAGCCCTGATGCTTTATGCACATTCCTCAGCGCAGCATTAAGTGCATGCATCAGTGCAGATTTGACTTTTCAGCCATGAACACAGCACACTGAACCACCAGGAGCCAGGTAGTCCAGCAGATACACCAGAAGCTGAGATGGAGGTTGATTGAGACATACAGACATGTTGATCTGAGCAGACGAACCAGAAAGCAGCCGGGAGTTAACAGAGATGCGGTTTTCTACTGAGCAGGACGATGAGCGAGCGTGACATGGAGCAGCAGATTATGACGACGGACGGACAGACAGGCGTCACACAAAGCCTCAGATCTGCCCGTACCTGGGTGCAGGTTAATCTTGAATGCGGTCAAGACAGCAGGACCATCTTTAAAGGACAGACAGATAGACACAGGTTAGGATGTGGTATTAGATCAGGAGGAGTAAACATGCAGTTATTCAGTACTGAGGCCATCTTGCTGGTGTAGTAGAACCCAGGGCCTGCTCAGAAACATCTAACAGAGGAAACAAACAGCCTGGAAGCTCTGCAGGCCATCGTCTCACTGATTGCAATCAGAGCAGTTCTTTATCTGTGGTGGGTCGTGCACAGGAGCTGCTGCTGACTTGAAACCAAAGCAGTGTGTTTGATTCAGTAACAACCAAATAGTTTTTTACTGTGACTCAGGCGCGCTGTGTGGGCGTCTGCTGTTCGAACAAGGCAGCTCTGGTGTGGCGCTCCCACCAGGCTCACACACAGCCAGACTGCCCTTCGTACTCCAAACAAATGCATCTATTTTTTCACTTGATTACGAACTCCTCAGAGAGTCTTGCACTCCAGCGAATGCAGACTAGCTAACCACAGCACCACATTACGACAACACAAACCTCCTCTCGAGGGACGTGATGCGAACGCGCCACAGATCTGTTGCAGTTTCTGTCGAGGCAGGAGCTTTTTCTGAAATGCCAGATTGGCGAGAAACAAAAGGCCTGACTGAATATGAAATATGAATGAGATAAACACTGGTGTGTAGCGGCTCACGCTGCCAGACCGTCCTGATGGCTGCAGTCGGTGAGTGTTTCGTGCACTCTCGTGTAAAATGGAAAAGCACTAAACTGAACTGTAAAACTTGAAAACCCGTCTGACAGCCAGCGGGCCTGGTAGCGGAGCATCATGGTGCACACCGGCTTACAGTGAAACCACAACATCCTGAGCTGGAACCCGGCCCCGGGTCCTCAATGACAGAACATCCTCTCTATCGTTCGCCCCACATTTCCTGTCAAGTCTGCTTATTATATTCAAAAGGGGGAAAATTCTGGCTGTCCAACATGAATCTCGTTATCGTTATAAGACATGCGCTGGAAACGTGACTACACATGTAGAATAACACCAGCAGCACCTGATAACGGCGGCTCAGCCTCCATGGGGCATGAACATGAAGGATGAAGCAGCTGAGATCCTCTTTTGTTCTCAGTAAGCAGCGTCTCAGCAGTGAGATGTGTTTCCATGTTTACACCGGGCCTCGGATTGTCAGCAGGAATATATATTTATTTTCTTATCGGCAGGACATTGTTGACCTGAACGGGAGATTTCCTGACAATCCCCGGAAGGCTGCGAGTGTGCCAAAAGGCCACAAACACAGGAGGTCAGGCGCAGGACAAAGGGGATAACGCATTATCTTCTAAAGACACAACATGAAATACCACGTTTGACGTCTCTGACAGTCTGCTGGGGAGGCACGAGAGGAACAGAAGTTTCTAAGGAATTCTGGTTGATGCAGATTAGGACACAGAGAAGCTTTTTTTTTTGCTTGGATGTTGTGCAGCCTTCAGACCACGTGTTTGGTTTGATATCATTCAGACAGAGATGGCAGGAGGCTGGTTTGTTCTGTCCCATAATCATATAGGCAGCATTTACTACAGGATACAACAGATCCAGGTCCTGCAGGCGCCGCTGTCCCATAAAACCCCCCATACGTCCAGCAGAGTTTAATAAAGAGTGTTTGCTTTAATCTACTCGTGGTAACACATCTGAAGGTAAACAGGTCGCGACAGAGGGGAGCCGTATGGCAGCTGCTAGCTAAACAGAAAATATGTTTCCAGGTCTGAAGCTTGTCCTGGCAGCTCTCCCACTTTCACTGTAGCTGTCCTCCGGTTAGCTGGGAGGAAATCTTGCTCCGTGTCTGATTTAGTATCATGCCTCCCATCAAAAGGGCTAATGCAATTACATAGCCTGTTTCCATAGCAACTCTTTGGCTCTGCTTCACCTCTGACGGGAAGATGACTTCATCGGCCGGACTGCAGACGGCAAAGTGAGTTCACCTTAAAAGGAGGCAAAGCCCTACAAACACTGAATAATCACGATTAAAGGCGCTGAACAGACGATGAGACTCGTTTCACCGAAGAAGAAAAAAACTGACAAAGAATTACAGAAAATCTTTAAGTCCAGTGATTTACAGAACGAAGACGACCGGTTCATATTAATACCTGAGTGGTGTTTGCACAGTCGCAGATCGTGACTCATACGGATCCATAAATCAGGTTCTGGGCGGTTCTGGTGAGGTAACACACTGGAACCACGTATAGATCAAAGTGAGGACGGGCCTGTCCGCTCCTTTCTGTGTTCTCTTTCACATGTCCTGATAAGAGCCTGAACAAAGGCTTCGGAGAGCAACAACAGTGTTTTAATGTGCAGCTCAGCCCAGATAAGCAGCCGGGTCTCTTTATTAACCCGCTAATTAACACAATAAAGAGCGCTGAGGCCCTGATGGAGAAGGGTTTGATCCACATTTCATTGTGGTCACTCAGTTCACTTTGTTTGGACCTGAACTGATTCGTCTTCCTTGTTTTTCGTTTCCTTCCATGATCGCTGGGTGATGCAGAGTTCTGTTGGCTAAACACGCAGCGAGTTGGACCGTGATGGAAGTGAGCCTGTTTGTTATTGTGTCAAACACAGATTTCACTTTCACTTGTGCAGAAACACGTTTATCCCGTCAACGCACGGACGGATCTTTAAAATAACTCTCAGTTACAAAGAAAACATAAAGTCCAGCGCTCACGGTGGTTTTCTGTAAAAGAACCAGATAACTGCTCAAGAGGGTGAGAAGCTTGAATGACTTTTCAGACAGAAGTTCTTCTTCTTCCTGTTTAAGGCCCTAAAAAGTGTGACATCAACTTCATTCATTCTAATTGTTTAGAGAGTTTAAAGACATAATATCACCTCAAAGCTCTGCCGTAAATCACAGACGTGTCATCATCAGGACTAATCCATTCATTCTCTGAGGCATCTTCTGTAAAACGCTCTCATCAGCGGAGCACCAGACTGTTTCTATGAATCTGAGCCGTGTTGTGTTTGGACACGCTGAGGTCAGAGCGTGTGGTCGGTCAATACGTGTCATTCACTTAATGCCTCCTCCAGTCTGTGTGCACTGTATGGATGAGGGATTCTCTTGGAAACCAGAACGTCTCCTGATCATTTCAGTTCCTGGACTTGTTCTGTGCCTCAGCTGGTTCTGAAAATAAAGAGAAGTTGACCTCTGCTGCTGTGAGTATTCGGTTTAGTCGTGGATAAGACATGGATGGTGTAAACCTGGATGCAGCTCTCCATCAGATCCAGACGTGAGCACACAGCCTCGGTGCTGCTGCAGCCGATCCTCCATCACCGTGCATCACACCCATCTGCTGCTTTGGAAGCTGGTGACAAACTAAAACCAAACCCAGGTTCCTGCTTCATGCATCGTTCATGAGATCTTAGAGAAGACGCTCTAACTACAGACAGGACCGTTTCCATGCCTCCATTCTCCGTTTCCGCTCTATTGAACTCCAGATTTAAGAAATTTCAGCTATTTTGGAGGAAACAACGGCGTCTTTGTTGTGTGACATGAACAAGACCTCCTGATGCGACTGACTTGTGCTGCAAGTCAAATATAAACTGATTTGTGTCCCATGGCTGCACTCTGTGTGCAGGAACACCTCCTGAGCAGAGGGATCTTCACCACCAGCTGTTCACCTTCACTCATCCTCAGACATCCCTCCACATGGAAACGACCAGAACCAGTGAACCAGTACAGTTCAGTCACACTCAGGTCCAAACCCCCAAACTGTCCAAACTGTGAACATGCTGATACCAGCAGCTCACTGTTTAGCAGAGCGCTGGTGAAGCCTGACTATCTCCCAGGAGCCCATCCCATCAGACATGGACACAGTGCACACGGGACCAGAACACGGACCTGTTTGCTCAGATGCCTCCCGCCTTTAGCTCACACTGAACCAACCGTGAAGATGCTGCTGGACTCCCTGGAGGACAATCTGCCACAGAGATAGTATCTGGAGGTGTTTTTCTAATTAAACCAGATCCAAGAAAACAGCGACCAGCAGAAGGTAAATGTTTGCCAGCGTGGCGCCGGCCCACTTTGAGGGGCATTCCTGTGATGCTGGACTACACAGCTCCTCAGCACCCAGCAGGTCTGGCTGGTCTGCTGGTCTGCTGGCTGGTCAGGGGATCACTACCCAGAGACACAACACATGGAAGTGAACCATCATGAGCAGCATGAAGCTGCTTTGCTCCAAGCTCTGACACCAGCATGAGAACAAAACTTTGACACTATGTGGGCTCGGTCCACCTCAGTTCTCCTCTCTCCTGTGGATGAAGTGGATTCTAATTGCAGGTTTTTATTTCATTGTCGCCTAAACGTGGTTGTAATTGTGTTATTGGAGGATGTCCAGAGGAGCCGGTTCTAATTGTATCACCAGCTCAGAGGGATCAGCACCACACTGACTGAGCTGGGCTGCTCCTCCAGACCAGTCCTCCCAGCAGCCCTCTGGTGGGAACAAAAGCCAACGTTTATGAGAAGATTCCAGGTTTCCTACCTGCGACCTGAGAGTCTGAGGCGCTCTGCAGCTCGATCAAAGTTTCATCCTTCGTCTTCCCGGTGATCCGTCTCATCGCGGCCGCGGTGTGTTTGTGAAGGCTTCAGCTTCTCACTGAGGATGTCTGTCTGTCTGTCTGCTGTCTGTCTGTCTGTCCACCAGCGATCCAACATCCGCCGATCACACGCTGGAATCAATCAGTCCGATCAGTTTGTGGCAGATGGATCATACTGTACATTAGAGCCCATTCCAGTGAAGCTGTACCCTGCTGGGCTCCGACACAACCCGAGGACGGCAGGCAGCATAAAGGGGAGTGGCACGGAGGATTTTAGTCGGCAGAGAGCCCGAGTGAGCCTCAGACACACACACACACACACACACACACACAGACAGACAGACACACAGACAGACAGACAGACAGGTGAGGTTGTACCTGGAGCTCAGCAGGTCGTGTGTCCACGACACCAAAACCCTCTGACTCTAAAACATTAATGACATCATGTTAGCAGACTGAGAGAGAGACAGAAGGCTTCTAACTCAGTTCACTATAGTCTGCTGGTTTATTGGTTTATTGGCTGTAATATCAGCAATACTGCCAAAGAGGAAGTTTTATTTAAGTAGGATTTTTTTATTTTTGCTTTTTAAATGAATAATCAGGATCAGAATCAGATTTATTGGCAGGTAGAGGTTACACAATACCAGGAATTAGTTCTGGTGGGTTGGTGCAACAATAAATACGGAGTAAGGTACAAGATAAAAATATAAAAACAGGTTAAAAAAATAAATAAAAATAACTAAAAATAAAAGTAACTAATGGTGCAAAGTAGAAGCAGAACATGTTGTGGAGTGAAGAAGATACGATAAGATAAAAGATATATATATAAGTAAAAATAAAGAAATACTTCTTTGAAAATGCTGCTTAAATCTGAACTAATCATGATGTAGGAATAAATGCAGCGCCTAATAGAATATAAGGATGTCAGTGTGGTACATGACCATGAATAAAAATAAGGAAGCTCGAATAGAAAAGTAGGAAGTGATGCGACGCTGATCCTGAAGCAGTAAAGTAATATTACTACACATGATACTGACATTATGCACATCAAAATGAAACACTGCCCCTGAAAAGAGGATAAAAAACAAAACGCTTGTGAGTCTCTGATTTGTACAACATGCTGTCATCACGTTATGGGACACGTATGTTCTATCTGCGTCTCCCTCATCATGACATGAGCTCACACACTGCCTCCGTTCCTCACTCTCACTACGATACAGAATCTGTTCCTTTATGCTGCCGTCGACTTCTGTAAAGTCTGCATTAAGAAATCAAAGTTTTGAAAGGTTGCCTGTATTCTGTTGTTGTATTCTTCACCTGTCTCCTCACCTGTCCTGCAGTGTCTCCTCCTTCTGTGGCCTCCAGCAGGTCTGGTGTCGTCTTTCCTCTGTGCTTGGACAGAGTCTGTGTTTGATCAGGATCTGTCTCTGCTTTGCATCCATGACAGCAGACAGATGTTCTACCAGTTAGTATTCATGGTTTGGGGCCAGATAACACTGATGAGCTTTATAATGTCCCATAAAGGCGCCTGTCATCTGTGTGAACATGTCATTTATTCTGATCAGCGGCTGAGGAGGATTTTAAGTTGGTCATCCTCTTATTATTATTATTTTAATTCTACTTAATCAACTGAAATTCTTTCCTTTTAGTTTTCTCAGGGTGTCTTTGAGCTGCACCTTCTCTGATGCTTTGGCGCTTGTTGTTCACCTGATTTTCATATTGTCTGATAAAGCACTTTAAATTGAAACTTGCAAATTGAATTGAAGGAGAGCGTGATAGAGAGGGAGAGCGTATGGATTCCAGAGAGGCGTGAGTCACGTTGATCTGCTGAGTCAGCTGTCGGAAATAGTCCAGCGCTGAGCTACACCTGCACTGAAGTGGAGCAGGTCACCTGTAGGATCACAGGTAAGAGGAGAAACCAAACATCGACAGCAAGGCTAGATTCTTCTCATGATGAGGACATCTTGTGGCCGTTTCCGGTATTTCACACATGCAGAATCTTTGCATGTGTTCTGTTTGATACCATCTGGATTCAAAGGCTTTGCTGTCATGTGCTCAGACAACAAGGTGTCAGTGCAGTGTTGATTCAGCACATCATTCAGACACACTGATCATCTACACAGAGAGGTAACAAATACGAAAATATAAAAACTGTGCAAGAGGTCGTCTACAGAAGAACTGCTGTGAAATGGTTCATCAGTTCCTTTGCCTGAGGACAGAAAGCGTCCTTGAACCCTGAGGTTCTGCATTTCAGCCTCCTGAAGCATCTGCCAGACAGCAGGAGTGTGAGGAGGTGGTGCTGTGGGTGGCTTGTTGTTGTTGTTGTTGTTGTTGTTGTTGTTGTTGTTACCGGTGCTTCTGGAGACTCTCTGCTGGTGAGTGTCCTGTAGAAATGAGAGGACGTACGTGTGATGTGTCGGCTGACCTGATCGCTCTGCAGGCGGGCGCTGAGTCCCGTCCCACAGCGTTAGGCCACCAGTGAGGATGGTCTGAACTGGGCACCAGTAGGAGCTGCACGGGAGCGATGTGACGGTCGACAGTTCTTCAGCCTCCTCATGAAGCCTCCTGGTCGGCTGGGTGATGTGGAGGGTCCAGGTGGAGTCCTCCCTGATGGAGGACTTGGAGGTGCTGACTGGTAAACAACCAGTCGTGGTGTTGACGGCGTCTTTCCTTTCTCAGGTTCACTTTCTTGGTCCATTAAGGGTCCAGCTGTTGTTTCTGGTTCCTGCAGTAGGCAGTCCATCACTGCTTCTGATGTGGTTCACAGTTTGAAGATTCTCATTTGTCGCAGCACGGTCGTGGGTGTAGAGTGGGAACAGCATGGGACCCAGTACACGACCCTGAGGGGTGCCAGCGTTCAGCACAAGAGTCCTGGAAGTTCTGTTTCTGATCCAGATGAGTGTCGGTGTGATGAGACAGCAAACAAGTTTGATTTCATACATTTCAAAGCAGAAATTTGGTTCCACTTTCCAATAAGTCCTGCACATTCTCAGGCGACTGATTCATACGCTGCCAGTGTTTCTGTTACTTTCTGACTTCTAATCACTCGCTGCTGAATCTGACTCGTAGCTGCTCAGTTGTCTTTCACCGTCTACTGTCTGCTGAACTGCGACACTTTTTAAATCTAGATGTTAACGTTTTACACTTAAACACAAAGTCAGATTTCCCAAACGTGGCAGTAAAACAGATTTCTGATAAACCGGTTTAGAATTTCTTGACCAGGGTTTTATTAATGGTTGTGATTAATGCCGTTGATTTAACACCTAAAAACTCGTCTCTGTGCATCAGAACTACAGATTTAGAATTAGTTTAACCTTAAAATGAATCAGTCCTGTGCCACTGCCTCCTCTGCAGATCTATGAAGTTCCTGCTCGCTCTCCAACAAGCCTCCCGACTCGCTGCACCGGGAGCACACCAGCTTCACTCTATCGAACACTGAGATGCTGCTGCACCACAAAAAGGCAAAAAGTTCTAAACTGAAGCTGATTCTGAATAATGATGCAGTCCCAGCCCAGAAGTTAATGACAGGTTCTTCAGAGTTATGTATGAAAACCAGGAAGTCACAGTCTGTGTTTAGGATCGTCATCAGTGCAGCAGCTTCAAGACACAAGATGTCATGTGATGCCTCATTTTGCTCATGATATGTCTTTCAGCATATAAAACACCACATGAAAATGTTATAGGCAAAGAAAAACACAAGAAGAGGTTTAAATGATGCCCCGTAGATGAGTTATAAATTATTATTAAATACAATAGTCAGAGTTGCCAGGTTTGGATCGGGTCAGTCTTGTTCTTCTGCATGCAGCATCGAGAAAGCAGGAAGCAAGCAGGTTCCTCATTCAGACAAACAGATTTTAAAAATCACAGAAGAAAAGAAACATAATCATGAAAGTGTCACATTAGAAACAATAAGAAAAATAATTAAAACTCTTTTTTAAAATGGTGCAGATGAAATGACATGTATGAGTCCATAGATCCCTGGATGGACGATCTGAGCTTCTGGCAGAACATCAGGACAACAACCTGTTTAGAAGAACACTCAACATTCAACATTTATATCATAACTCCATCAGAGGACCACGGATGTTTATACTCACAATTAAATGAGAAACTAATGACTCTTTGTTCATGGCCTTATTAGCACGTATGAGCACAGAACAAACAGTTTATTTGGTTTCTTAGCAGAACATGAGAAGCTGATGACATCATTGTTATACTTACTAATGGAATACAGCTAATCGATAAAGGACTTTGATAAATGATTCATTAATCCTACATATAAATTCTTTGTACTAAATTAGGACTGGGAATTAAAACATGTGTTCACACTACAAGCTGTGAGCTGGTGGCAGAGATCTCCTCCTGGACTCTAGATGTTCTCCTCCAGCTTATCACAGGTGTTCCTTCACACTTTAGCTACACATCGTAGATTAAAGTTTCACAACATCACTAAAGATCCTTTGAAAAAATCTCCATTATCAGCTTGAGCTTAATCTCTCTCAGCGCTGCCCTGGAGCTCCAGAACCACGCTGCATCAATTAGGCTGCAGCAGGTTAATGGGCTGGACGGCCTTCCCGGTCCGAGACGCCCCACTCAGCAGATTAAACAGATACCAGTGGCGGCTGTAATTGGTGTGCTGCCTTCAGCCAGAATCACAGCTGCTGCTTTCCAGTGATGCTGGAGCTCTCTTTATGGCTTAATGGAGGCCACAAATCCCAGAATCCCTGAATAATAAATAAGCCAGTAGCAATGATGATTGCAGAAAGCATGTAAAGTCGCCCCTATTGGTTTCATGTCTCAGAGATAACAGCAACACGCGGATCCTTAACCTGAGTGAAGGTAGGTGGTGGTGATGTAAACACAGCGTAGGATGTAAATATGATGAGTTCATATGTATGTACAAGAAGCAGAGTTACTCATTAAAATAAAATAAAATAAACAACCACGAGTGAAATAGCTGTAAGGCTGCAGGTTGCTCGGTGGTTAGCATCGTTAGCGCCTCACAGCTAGAAGGTCTCTGGTTGGCGTCCCGGTGAGGACACCCGGGATCTTCCTGCGTGGAGTCTCCATGTTCTCCCCGTGCAGCGTGGGTTCTCTCCGGGTTCTCCGGCTTCCTCCCACAGTCCAGAAACATGCTGAGGTTAATAATGTAACCACCAAATAACGCTCTGGAAACCACATGAAACCTCCTCCAGACCTCCAGTAGCTCAAAGGTGACTTCTGATGAAGTGGCAGCATCAGACCCTGGTTCCTGTAACCATGGAGACACACAGAGGAGATGTCTG